TCCCCCAGTAGACCCATAGGGGCCCAATAGCCCCATAGGAGCCCCCATAGCCCATAGGCGCCCCATAGCCCCATAGGACCCCCCATAGCCCCATAGGAGCCCCCCATAGCCCCACAGGCCCCCATAGCCCTTGGAGCACCATAGCCCCATAGGAGCCCCCAATAGCCCCATAGGAACCCTCATAGCCCCATAGGAGCCCCCCATAGGAGCCTCCCATTGCCCATAGGATGCCCCCATAGCCCCATAGAACCCCCCATAGCCCCATTGGAGCCCCCCATAGCCCCATAGGACCCCCTTATAGCCCATAGGTCCCCCATAGGACCCCCAATAGCCCCATAGGGCCCCCCATTAGCCCCATAGGAGCCCCACATAGCCCCATAGCAGCCCCCATAGCCCATAGGACACCCCCATAGGACCCATAGGGCCCCCCAATAGCCCCATAGGAGCCCCCCATAGCCCATAGGGCACCCCCATTGCCCCTAGGATCCCCCATAGCCCCTAGGAACCCCCATAGCCCCATAGGACCCCTGAGCCCATAGACCCGCAATAGCCCCATAGCAGCCCCCATAGCCCCATAGGAGCCCCCCATAGCCCCATAGGAGGCCCCCATAGGCCCCCCATAGCCCCATTGGATCCCCATAGCCCCATAGGGCCCCCCCATAGCCCCATAGAGCCCCCCTAGCCCCATTGGACCCCTATATAACCTCATTGGACCTATAGGGGCCATAACCCCTCGGACACCCCCCCCCCCATAGCCCATAGCCTCCATTGGACACCCCTAGATCCCCATAGGACCCGCATAGCCCCATAGCAGCCCCCCTAGCCCCATTGGAGCCCCCCATAGCCCCATAGGAGCCCCCCATAGCCCCCATAGGACCCCCAATAGCCCCATTGGACCCCCCATAGCCCCCATTGGGACCCCCCTAGACCCCCATTGAACCCCCTTATACCCACATGGAACCCCTCCCATGAACCACAATGGACCCCCCCCATAGCCCCATTGGACACCCAAATCCCCATTGGACCCCCTATATCCCCATTGGACCCCCCTAGACCCCATGTGAACTCCCTCATATCCCTATTGGACCCCTCTAGACTCCCATTGAACCCCCTTAGTAACCCTCATTGGACCTCCCCATATCCCCATTGGAACCCCCCTAAACCCCACTGGATGCCCCTAGACCCCCATTGAACCCCCTTATACCCCCATTGGACCCTCCCATACCCCCATTGACACCCCCCATATCCCCATTGGACCCCCCATAGCCACCCCATTGAATCCCCTTATACCCCCCTTGGACCCCCCATACCCCATTGGACTCCTCCATATCCCATTGAACCCCCTAGAACCCCATTGGATGCCCCTAGACCCCCATTGAACCCCCTTATACCCCCATTGGACCCCCCATACCCCCATTGGACCCCCCCACATCCCCATTGAACCCCCCCATACCCCATTGGACTCCCCTGTAGCCCCATTGAACCCCCCTAGACCCCCATTGAACCCCCTTATACCCCCCATTGGACCCCCCCATATCCCCCCATGCACCCCAATCCCCCCCCCACACCCCCCCATTGCTTCCATTGCAGTGCTCGGTGACCCCACCATCATTCCAGCCCCATTGCGGCCCCATAGCAAGCCTGGGACTAGCATTCCCATTGGGATAAGATGCAGGAGAGCTACGAGAGCGTCATCTCATTGGGTGAGCCCCCCCCCCCCCCATTTCCCCCCCTTTTCCCATGGAATTCCCCCCATTCCCGTTGTTCATCCGTAGCGGAAGAGATCGCCATCAGTTGGCCAAGGATCACGGCCTTCGCCGAATCCCATCGCAGGAGGGGAGCGGCGGCCGGTGAGTCCCATTGGGAAGATCCCCATTGGAATTCCATTGGGATCAAGGGCATGGGATGATGGGTTGGATGCAATCGCCAACCAATGGCGTTGGAATTCCATTGGGATCAAGGGCATGGGATGATGGGTTGGATGCAATCGCCAACCAATGGCGTTGGAATTACATTGGGATCAAGGGCATGGGATGATGGGTTGGATGCAATCGCCAATCAATGGCGTTGGAATTCCATTGGGATCAAGGGCATGGAATGATGGGTTGGATGCAACCGCCAACCAATGGGGTTGGGTGGCCATTGGAAGATCCCAATGGAATTCCATTGGGATCAAGGGCATGGGATGATGGGTTGGATGCAACTGGCAACCAATGGGGTTGGGTGGCCATTGGAAGATCCCAATGGAATTCCATTGGGATCAAAGGCATGGGGACGATGGGTTGGATGCAACCGCCAACCGATGGGGTTGGGTGGCCATTGGGAAGATCCCATTGGAATTCCATTGGGATCAAGGGCATGGGATGATGGGTTGGATGCAACTGGCAACCAATGGGGTTGGGTGGCCATTGGAAGATCCCAATGGAATTCCATTGGGATCAAGGGCATGGGACGATGGGTTGGATGCAACCGCCAACCGATGGGTTGGGTGGCCATTGGGAGATCCCATTGGAATTCCATTGGGGATCAAGGGCATGGGACGATGGGTTGGATGCAAGCGCCAACCAATGGGGTTGGGTGGCCATTGGGAGATCCCATTGGAATTCCATTGGGATCAAGGGCATGGGACGATGGGTTGGATGCAAGCGCCAACCAATGGGGTTGGGTGGCCATTGGGAAGATCCCATTGGAATTCCATTGGGATCAAAGGCATGGGACGATGGGTTGGATGCAATCGCCAACCAATGGGGTTGGGTGGCCATTGGAAGATCCCATTGGGCTTCCATTGGGTAAAAGACATGGAATGATTGGTTGGACGCAACCAGCATCACGGGAGCAACCAACCAATGGGGTTGGCTGCTGAGGCCACGTCTCCCCCCCTTCTCTCCCCCCATAGACGATTCCTTGTTGAGCGAGAACGACGACGAGGACCCTCCGCCGGGCGAGCTGGACAAGGCCGCTCCCCCTCCTCCCCATCGCCCCATCCCAAAGGCCCCATTCCCAGCCCCACAAGTGGAGATCCCCCCCCCAAAGCCGACCCCCCGCCTCCGAAGCCCCCCAGGAAACGTCCGGGAAGCCACCGGAGCTTCAAGAGGTTCCCATCGCGTTCCTTGGCGCCTTCCAACCGGTGCCAGGATTGCGGCAAAGCTTTGGCATTCCCGAAGCGCCCGCGGGCCTGTGCCGAAGGCGGGAAGTGCTTCCGGTTGGCATCGACCCTTCTCCCCCATCAACGGCGCCGCGTCGGTGGCGAGAAGAATTCCAAGTGTCCGGAATGCGGGAAGAGCTTCCCGGCCCCTTCCGGCTTGGCCAAGCACCGCAAGCTCCACGTGGAAGAGAAACCCTACAAGTGCGGCGACTGCGGGAAGGGTTTCCATTGGAATTCCCACTTGGAACGGCACCGGCGCATCCACACGGGCGAGAAGCCCTATGGGTGCCCCGAGTGCGGGAAGCGCTTCAGTTGGAGCTCCCACTTGGAGCGCCATCGCCGCATCCATGGGGCGCCGGCGGCGGCGTGCGGGCGCTGCCGCGTCCCTTCGGACCCTTCCAAAGCCTTGGCCAAGCCCTCGCAATGCGGCCAATGCGGGAAGGCCTTCGCCACGGCACCGCTTTGGCCAAGCACCGGCGGGCCCACGGCGCCGAGAAGCCCCCTAAGTGTGGGGAGGGAGGGAAGGCGACGGCGTCGACATCGGCGCAGCCCCAACGGAGCCGCGGCGCCGGCAAAGCGTTCCGGTGCGGAGACTGCGGGAAGAGCTTCGCGTGGAGCTCCCACTTGGATCGGCACCGGCGCATCCATATGGGGGAGAAACCCTACCGGTGTGGGGCGTGCGGGAAGAGCTTCTCCCAAGGGTCCCACTTGGAACGGCACCAACGGGTCCACGCCGGGGGGCAGGAGCCGGGTCGATGCGTCGAGTGCCGGCGCTCGTTGGGCCGATGCGCGGAGTGCGGGGAGGCGCGGCCCCATAAGTGCGGGAAGAGCCTCGCTTATGGGGCGGAGAGGGTGAAGCACCAAGGGACGCAGACGGGCGAGAAGCCCTACGCGTGTGGGGAGTGCGGGAAGAGCTTCGGGCAGAACTCGGCGCTGGTCAAGCACCGCCGCATGCACACGGGGGAGAAGCCCTACAAGTGTGGGGAGTGCGGGAAGAGCTTCGGCGTCCGCTCCAACCTCATCAAGCACCAACGGACCCACTTGGGCGAGAAGCCCTACAAGTGTGGGACTGCGGGAAAGGCTTCATCCAGAAGTCGGATCTCACCAAGCACCGCCGCATGCACACGGGGGAGAAGCCCTACAAGTGTGGGGAGTGCGGGAAGTGCTTCAGCGTCTCCTCCAACCTCATCAAGCACCAACGCATCCACTTGGGCGAGAAGCCCTACCAGTGCTCCGAGTGCGGCAAGAGCTTCATCCAACGCTCCGAGCTCACCATCCACCAGCGCGTCCACACCGGCGAGAAGCCCTACAAGTGTGGGGCGTGCGGGAAGTGCTTCAGCCGCAGCTCCCACCTCAACCGCCACCACGCACCCACAACGGGGACAAGGCCAAAGCCAACGCCGCCGACGCCGCCAACGCCGCCTTCTCCGGCCCCTTTGCCCCGTCCCGGCGCTGCCGCCCTTCCCCGGCGCGGTGCCGGCCTTGGAGCTGCCCTGGGCCCTGCCCTTCCCTGCCCGGCCTTCCCCCCAGCCCTGCTTCCCCCCGGCTCCAGCCCCGGGGCTTCCAGGCTGTCCCTCAGCAACTGAGCCCGGCCCCGGCGCCAGCCCCACGGCTCCGGGGGGGGGGGGGGCGATGTGGGGCCAAGCAAGAGCCGGCGTTGGGGATGGGCCCATCCAGAGCTGGAGGGAGGCGCTTGAGGGGGCTGGGACAGGATGGGGAAGGCGCCTTCGGGCTATGGGGCCAAGCTCACTCAGCACCCAACTGGGGTTGGCCAACGAGAGGCGTCATTGCGCTTGTTCCACTCAGCAGCCAACTGGGGTTGGCCAACAAGAGGCGTTATTGGGCTTGTTCCATTCATTCAACTGGGGTCGGCCAACGAGAGGTGTCATTGGGCTTGTTCCATTCAAGACCCAACTGGGGTTGGCCACGAGAGGCGTCATTTGGCTTGTTCCACTCAAGACGCAACTGGGGTTGGCCAACAAGAGGCACCATTGGGCTTGTTCCACTCAACGTCCAACTGGGGTTGGCCAACAAGAGGCGTCATTGGGCTTGTTCCACTCAACGCCCAACTGGGGTTGGCCAACAAGAGGCGTCATTGGGCTTGTTCCACTCAAGACCCAACTGGGATTGGCCAACAAGAGGCATCATTGGGCTTGTTCCATTCACTCAGCTGGGGTTGGCCACCACGAGGCACCACTGGGCTTGTTCCACTCAAGACCCAACTGGGGTTGGCCAATAAGAGGCACCATTGGGCTTGTTCCACTCAAGACCCAACTGGGGTTGGCCAACAAGAGGCGTCATTGGGCTTGTTCCACTCAAGACCCAACTGGGGTTGGCCAACAAAGAGGCGTCATTGGGTTTGTTCCATTCATTCAATTGGGGGTTGGCCAACGAGAGGCATCGTTGGGCTTGTTCCACTCAAGACCCAACTGGGGTTGGTCAACAAGAGGCATCGTTGGGCTTGTTCCATAGCTGGGAACTCTGGGATTGGGAAGGTTTGGGTGGGATCTGGATTGATCCAAGCGGAACGCGGTGCGATGGGAAGGGCTTTGTTGGGAATGGAGGAGGAAGAGGGAATAGTCCTACCCCCCCCCCCAAAAAAAAGAGGGAAAATGGCTATGGAAAAGGAAAGAGGAGGGAAAGAATGGGAAAAAGGAAAGGATACAGGGAATGGGACCAAAATCGGTGCTGAATGTAGGAAAGGGATGATGGATGATGATCGATGATGGATGATGATGATGGATGATGGATGGATGATGATGGATGATGATGGATGATGATGATGGATGATGGATGGATGGATGATGGGTGATGAATGGATGGATGAGTGGATGGATGGATGATGAGGATGGATGGATGATGGATGATGATGGATGATGATGATGGATGATGGATGGATGATGATGGATGATGATGGATGATGGATGGATGATGGATGGATGATGGATGGATGGATGGATGGATGATGGGTGATGGATGGATGGATGACGGATGGATGGCTGGATGATGATGGATAATGGATGGACAATGGAGGGGTGATGGCTGGACGATGGTGGATGGATAACGACACCAATGGGGCACAAGGCCCCACCGAGACCCCAGAGACCCCAACGCCACCCCAAAGGATCACAAAGCTCTTCCCTGAAGGCACCTGAGGCGGGTTCCTTCTCTTCCCAAGTGGGATTCGGGCTGGAATTCCCAGCGCCGAGCTTCCGAAGCCGCCATTGGCCGTGTCCTTTGTCCATGGTCTTCTTCTCGTGTCTCATTGTATGGGGGGATGGGGGGTTTGGGGGTGGGGGGGGTGTGGGGCCGGAATTCCTCATCTTTTGTTTTCCATGAGTAGGAATAAAGTAGAACGTAGGAGCTCGGGATGAGGTCTTCTCCTTGGGATGGGGTTTCCTCTTCCCATTGCTCCGCATCCCAGATCCCAAGGGAGTCCCAAGTGGGCTGGGAATGCCCCAATTGGTGCTCCTCAGGCTTCAAGGGGGGGTTGGGTTGGGTGGCTCAAGGACAGGTCCAATGGGATTCATCCCATCTCCAATGGGGTTCGTCCCATCTCCCAATGGGATTTATCCCATCTCCAATGGGGTTCAACCCATCTCCATTGTGGTTCATCCCATCTCCGATGGGGTTTGTCCCATCTCCAATGGGGTGCATCCCATCTCTAATGGGGACATCTCCAATGGGGTTCATCCCATCTCCAATGGGGTTCATCCCATCTGCAATGGGCTTCATTCCATTTCCAATGGGGTTCGTCCCATCTCTAATGGGGACATCTCCAATGGGGTTCATCCCATCTCCAATGGGGACATCTCCAATGAGGTTCGTCCCATCTCCAATGGGGTTCATCCCATCTCCAATGGGATTCATCCCATCTCCAATGGGGACATCTCCAATGGGGTTCAACCCATCTCCAATGGGGTTTGTCCCATCTCCAATGGGGTTCATCCCATCTCCAATGGGGTTCAACCCATCTCCAATGGGGTTCATCCCATCTCCAATGGGATTCATCCCATCTCTAATGGGGTTCACCCCATCTCCAATGGGCTTCATTCCATCTCCAATGGGGTTCGTCCCATCTCCAATGGGGTTTGTCCCTTCTCCAATGGGGTTCGTCCCATCTCTAATGGGGTTCAACCCATCTCTAATGGGATTTGCTGGATCTCTGGGGGTTTGGACCCCCATTCCCAAGGGAATTCCAAGCCCCCCCCCCCCCCCCATTTCCCTATAGGAAGCACCCCCAAAACACCCAGATATCCCATCGGGGTGTGGGGGGTGGTGGTCAGGATTTGGGGATACACCAAGAAATCCATATGGAATAGGCTGGGAATATCCATTTACTCATTGGAATATACATTGGGAATGACCCCCACCCCCCACCCCCCAACCCCGGGGGGCTGCCTCGAACCTTGGGGGGTGGAGGGGTTCTCATCACAGCCAGCCCCGATCCCAACAGTGGGAATAGGGAATTCTATGGGTGACGGATCCCATCGGTGGGAAGTTGGGAATCCCATGGGATACAGCTCCCAACACCGCTATTGGGGGGGGGGGGGGAACCCAAATCCCCTGCCCCCCATGGCATTGCCTTGGCCAACGAGACTCTTCCAAGCACGGCCCCCAACATCTCCACCCTCCGTGCCCCATGGGAAGGGGTTCCGTCAGCTTCCGGATCCCAACAGTGGGAATTCCATGGGATACGGGGATCCCAGCATCCCTATGGGGGAGCAGAGGAACGCAAACCCCCGCCCCACATCCACGGTCAAGAAGATGCTTCCAAGAGCGGGGCCACCAGCTCCAACCTTCACCCCCTGGCTCCTATGGGGAGGTTGAAGCCACCCCATGGTTCCTATGGGGAGGTTGAAGATCTCAAGGTCTTCTTGGGTACCTCCAACCTTCACCCCATGGTTTCTATGGGGAGGTTGAAGACCTCAAGGTCTTTTTGGGTACCTCCAACCTTCACCCCATGGGGAAGTTGAAGCCCTCTTGGTCTTCTTGGGCACCTCCAACCTTCACCCCATGGGAAGGATGACGCCCCCTTGGTCTTCTTGGGTACCTCCAACCTTCACCCCATGGGGGAAGTTGAAGCCCTCTTGGGTACCTCCAACCTCCACCCCATGGAGACGACAAAGCCCCCATGGTGAAGCCGAAGCCCTCAAGGCCTCCTCCTTGGATGGGGCCTCGCCTTGGGGTGCTGCTCGGGCGCTAGAGGCTGACGCTGCGGTGATGCTTCAAGTACCCCGGCGCCCCCCGGGCCCTATGGGGCTCGCCCAACTCCTCGCTGTCGAGGCTGGCGGCGTCCGAGAGCTTGGCCAAGTGCTCGACCGAGTCGAACTTCTGCAGGTCCGAAGCGATGGTTTGGAGGCTCAGCACCGAGAGCGTGTCCCCGGCGCCTCCCCCCACCCCTAAAGGGGTCCCTTGGGGGTCTGGCACCGATTCGGAGCCGGGGGGCTGAGCGTCGCCTTCGGCGCCCACGGGGGAGGCGCGGCGCGGCGGGAGGCGGCGCAGGCGGCGCGCGTGGATCTGCTCGCTGATCTCCTCCAGGTTCCGCAAGGCCACGGCGTAACGGGTCTTGGCCCGGGCCACCCGCGCCTCCAGCGCCGTCACCTGGGCCTTGTGCTCCTGATGGGGTGGGGAGGGGGGGGTTGGAATAGGGGGAGAAAGGCGAAAACGGGATGGAATCGCCCCAAAAAGGGGCTCCGGCGCCGTTGCGAAGGAGCCCAATGGTCACGTTGGGTCCTTCTTGGTTGACTTGGTCCCAAAACCTGATCGAACTACCCCAAAAATGGATCCATCTCCATCCCAAGGTGCCCCATGGCCATGTTGGGTCCTTCCTGCTCTTCTTCACCCCAAAACCTGATGAAACCACCCCAAAAAGGGATAGAACCACCCCAAAAAGTGATGAAACCACCCCAAAAAGAGGTGAAACCACCCCAAAAATGGATCCATCTCCATCCCAAGGCGCCCCATGGCCATATCGGGCCTTTTCTGCTCTTCTTCACCCCAAAACCTGATGAAACCACCCCAAAAAGGGATGGAAACACCCCAAAAAGTGATGAAACCACCCCAAAAAGAGGTGAAACTACCCCAAAAATGGATCCATCTCCATCCCAAGGTGCCCCATGGCCATATCGGGTCCTTCCTGCTCTTCTTCACCCCAAAACCTGATGAAACCACCCCAAAAAGGGATGGAAACACCCCAAAAGTGATGGAAACACCCCAAAAGAGGGGAAACCACCCCAAAAATGGATCCATCTCCACCCCATGGCCATGTTGGGTCCTTCCTGCCCTACTTCACCCCAAAACCTGGTAGAAGAACCTCAAAATGTGGTGAAATCGCCCCAAAAAGGGGCTCCGGCGCCGTTGCGAAGGAGCCCAATGGTCACGTTGGGTCCTTCTTGGTTGACTTGGTCCCAAAACCTGATCGAACTACCCCAAAAAGGGATGAAATCACCCTAGAAAGAGGTGAAACCACCCCAAAAATGGATCCATCTCCACCCCATGGCCACGTTGGGTCCTTCCTGCTCTACTTCACCCCAAAACCTGGTAGAAGAACCTCAAAATGTGGTGAAATCGCCCCAAAAAGGGGCTCCGGCGCCGTTGCGAAGGAGCCCAATGGT